AGGTCCCCCCTGTCCATATCATCTTATTCATTATGATGTTAAAGGGCAAAACTGATTCTAGATCAGCACTCCTACTCTGAGACGATTTGTGAATACAGGCCCGGTCTTCTCTCCTGGGACAGGGACTGTGTGAAGTCTCATACGGTGACATGTATTTTGTATTTTATGTGGGAGGCTCATGGAGGGCTGGCTTTGATATCTGTCTCTTTGTCTCATAATCAGATGTTATTAGGTGTATTGTATTATGTGATAGACAAGAGCAGGAAGCCCACACAGCATCCATTCTAAAATATTATTTTTATGAACATACTGTAAAAACACATTATTCAAGAACCATCTTTGAGGGGGTCATTTTCAACCATCTGAATTGTGATCGTAGAATGCTTAGCCATAATGGCTGTAATGTTCCACTGGGTTTTTCTCCTACTCACACAAATTATCTCTACTGTAATTTGTTTGTTTGTTTCAGTGTTTTTCGGGCTCAGAATGCATTAACTGTGGATGATAAATTGTTCATCGATCCATTAACCTGGCGTGTTCTAAAGATGGTCAGCCCTTCCATTGCTGTCCTCCGTTTTTGTTGGTCTATTTTATAGAATGATCTCAATCAAAAAGTTTGATTTCCCAAAAATAAAAATAAAAAATGTTACCTGGATACTTCATGTCTGAGGGTCTTTACCTGTGTACCAAAACCAAAGAGCAAGAGGAACATGTCCGACTTATCGAAATGAATCACACAACATATGCTTAGCCTTGTAGAGTAGATACCCAGTGCTGTTGCTACACATGGCTTGCTTATTGGGGTGTAGACTACTGATGGTAGCCTGGGTCACTTGCCAAATAGAGAAACAAGTAACATTGTTTAAAGCAGCAACCATTAGATTACCAGGCTATACTGGGGCTCTTGTGCTTAGTGCTGTATACTCTACTTTCTGATCAACACTATGTACTGTAGTCTTGAACTGAGATGAGTGACTGAGCAAGTGCTTCCTTTAGGACCTAAAGAGGAGGGTGCTCTCACTGTTTGGACCATCATTAACACACTGAACAAAAATGTAAACACAACATGCAACAATTTTAAAGACTTTACTGAGATACAGTTCATATAAGGAAATCAGTCAATTTAAATACATTCATTAGACCCTAATCTATGGATTTCACATGACTGGGAATAAAGATATGCATCTGTTGGTCACAGGTACCTTAAAAAATAAAATAGAGGCATGGATCAGAAAACCAGTCAGTATATGGTGTGACCACCATTTGCCTCATGCAGCGCGACACATCTCCTTCACATAGAGTTGATCAGACTATTGATTGTGGCCTGTGGAATGTTGTCCCACTCCTCTTCAATGGCTGTGTGAAGTTGCTGGATATTGGCGGGAACTGGACCACGCTGTCGTACACGTCGATCCAGAGCATCCCAAACATGCTCAATGGGTGACATGTCTGGTGAGTATGCAGGCCATGGAAGAACTGGGACATTTTCAGCTTCCAGGGATTGTATAGAGATCCTTGTGAAATGGGGCCGTGCATTATCATGCTGAAACGTGAGGTGATGGCGGCGGATGAATGGCACAATGGGCCTCAGGATCTCATCACGGTATCTCTGTGCATTCAAATTGCCATCGATAAAATGCAATTGTGTTCGTTGTCCGTAGCTTGTGCCTGCCCATACCATAACCCCAATGCCACCATGGGGCCCTCTGTTAACAATGTTGACATCAGTCTGCCATCTGCCTGGTACAATTTAAACCAGGATTCATCCGTGAAGAGCACACTTCTCCAGCATGCCAGTGGCCATCGAAGGTGAGCATTTGCCCACTGAAGTCAGTTACGACGCCAAACTGCAGTCAGGTCAAGACCCTGGTGAGGATGACGAGCACACAGATGAGCTTCCCTGAGAAGGTTTCGACAGTTTGTGCAGAAATTATTTGGTGTCCAGGCGGCTGGTCTCAAACGATCCCGCAGGTGAAGAAGCCGGATGTGGAGGTCCTGGGATGGCGTGGTCACACGTGGTCTGCGGTTGTGAGGCCGGTTGGACGTATTGCCAAATTCTCTAAAACGACATTGGAGGCGACTTATGGTAGAGAAATGAACATTACATTCTCTGATAACAGCTCTGGTGGACATTCCTGCAGTCAGCATGCCAATTGCACGCTCCCTCAAATCATGAGACATCTGTGGCATTGTGTTTTGTGACAAAACATTTTAGAGTGGCCGATTATTGTCCCCAGCACAAGGTGCACCTGTGTAATGATAATCTGTTTAATCATCTTCTTGATATGCCACACTGGTCAGGTGGATGGATTATCTTGGCAAATGAGAAATGCTCACTAACAGGGATGTAAATAAATTTGTGCACAGAAAATGAAAGAAATAAGCTTTTGTGCGTATGGAACATTTCTGTTATCTTTTATTTCAGCTCATGAAACATCGGACCAATACTTTACGCGTTGCATTTGTATTTTTGTTCAGTATACATACTATTGTCTCAGTGGCATACTGTATACCTTGCGCTAAGCTTTGATACGGGTGTGTGTGTTCTGTATGCTCGTCATTACCATGGTTACTGAAATGCCAGCTGTACAGTGGCAGCTCATCAAACAACCTTCACACAAAATAGTGCTGCTCACCTCCTATTCATCCATCCATCCCCTCGTCTGTCCATCCACACATCTGTACTTCCACTCATTCATACGTCCTTCTGCTCATCCATCCATCCATTGAGAGGAAGGATCTCTGTGAGCTTAAACCATCGCTTTCGATTATAAAACACTCAATGCTGCAATGTGTGTGTGCGTGTGTGTGTGTGTGGTGTGTACGTACGTTGCCATGGCTACTGGCCAGCCCGACTGGCGTCATCACTTCAAACCCACCTTCGCAGCGAGCGGAGAGAGAAAAGGACTCAAAGCAGCATCCCTCTGTTCAACACTCGCGCTCACACACACACACACACACACTGTGTGGTCTCATATTCCGCTGAGTTCACCACATTCATTCAGCAGTACAGTAAAGGAGGAGAGGAAAGGAGAAGGAGAAGAGGAATAAAGAGAGAGAAAAAAGAGAGGGAGAGAGAAATAGGGGGGAGAAAGAGACAGACAGAGTCAAAGACAGACACAGTGAGACAGGGAGGGACAGAGGAAAATAAAAAGAGCTGAAACATGCGTGGCCTACAGATTGGACTGGGTTGGTCTGACTGTTTGACAGTCGGTCTGACTGTTTTACTAAGTCTGACTGTTTTCATGTGTCTAACTCCATTTGAGTGTTTTTGTCTGTGACTGACTGACTGGTATGGTGAGAGAGAGAGAGAGAGAGAGAGAGAGAGAGGAGAGAGAGAGAGAGAGAGAGAGAGAGAGAGTGAGAGAGAGGGAGGAGAGAGAGAGAGAGAGAGAGAGAGAGAGAGAGGAGAGAGAGAGAGAGAGACAGAGAGAGAGAGAGAATTTAGTTTAGTTTACGGGTTCACCGTCCATCTCCATCCTCTTCTAATCACATCCCAGTTGGTTACTGGCCAAAATGATACTCTGGTACATCTCTAGATTACACTGGATTACTAATCTCCTCTTCAGAATGACCACTTTATTTTACTGCCTGGTATATATTTTTGCGGATGGTTTTTGGATCAGACTCATTCACAGATTAGAAATATCTGTGTAACTGAGTAAAACATTTTATCTTCTTCCAGGACTGATTCTGTCATACAACATGGCCGACAACTGGTGGTTGCCACGGGATACAGAATTTGACTTGATCATGTGATCTGTCTTCCTTCCTGTACCCTTAGACCTTCCATAGGTAAGTCACCTGACCTCCTCAGACTTCCTCATTGGCTGGATGGACTCTGCGATTCAATAAATCAGCTGAAAAGTAAACAATGTCAAACTGTAAAGAGAATATATTAAATAACAGAATGGTTGCATTAGTGTCGGTAAGTATCAGAAGTAAAATAGGCTACAACCGGAAATCAACCTGGATTCTGACATTCTCAAACCTGGTTTAATGCTACTGTACATTTTGTGAGAATCTTAGTTTCAATTAGGAATATTTTGTTCTATAGGAGAACAGGGTGTACCATACAGAGAGATCCTATTAAATCAGGTTTTCTAATATGTCATTATGTGGTACCATAGACATCCAGTCAGAGAGCTGTACACTGTGTGAGGACTGCATGGCTCAGACTGCCTGTAGCTCAGTTGGTAGAGCATGGCACTTGCAACGCCAGGGTTGTGGGTTCGATTCCCACGGGGGGCCAGTCTGAAAAATGTATGCACTCACTAACTGTAAGTTGCTCTGGATACGCGCGTCTGCTAAATGACTAAAATGTTACTCCATATGATAATGAATATTGTTATTTAGAGCGTGACATAAAGCTCTGAGACGGGTGAAAATGTGCCATAGACACACAAAACACAAACCACACACACACACAATTAAGCGAATGAGCAGCACCCTTACTAATGGGGAAAGACAAAACAGTGGTACAGAAAAGGACTCTGAATAGACTACTGATTGAGAGAAAGAAAGAGATGCATGCTGTACACGTGTGTGTGTTTGTGTGTTGTCAGTGGATGATTATGCCTGGGAGGGATGAGAGCACTCTGTTGCCATGGAGATGGACAGAGCTGTAAACTCTCCCCCTGACTCATCCCTCTCTCTACAATAGAGCCCAGACACACACACTCACACACAAACAAGAGCACAATCTCAGTAAGACAAGAGGATTCGGAGATGCGAGCCACTCAAACCTGAATAGGTCAGAAGAATAGACCCAACACACACACACACACCAAGCACTTCAGGCTGAGTTCAATGCGAGTAACACACACACACACACCACATTATTGAGCTGCAACAGGCTCATTTTCTGGATGGAGGTTTCGCTGAGAGTATTCATTTGCATTTGTCCAGATAATGGCGCCCATCATATTACTGTATTGTTGACCTACCTGCTCCCCTCCCCTACCTGCCCCCCTCCCCTCCTGGTTTGTCTCAGGGGCATCATGACCAGACGACTGAGGAGCTCGACCCGTTCCCAGACGGAGGACTCCATCTTCCTAAAGCCAGACGAGGATCCCATATGGCTGGATGACCCCCCAACGACAGACATCGACCCCTCTCAACCAGGAGATGGCCCCCCGGGCCCTGATGGCCCCCCAGGACAAGGGACAGGCCCCCCAGGGCCCCAGAGACATCCAGAGGAACTGTGGAGGGACAAGTTTTACACCATTGCCATGGGGATGCACTGGTGTGCCGTGCTCTGCACAATCTCCCAAATCACGGTGGGTCAGCTGAGATGCTGCCAGGTTCCGACAGGCACTAAGGCAAAGGATGTTGTAGAAAGATTGTTCATAAATGCAAGTAGATGTGCAACCACAGTTCGAAAAGGCCTAGCTGTGAAAGTACCTGTTCTTGTCAGAAACAAAAAATAATTTTCAACTTCATTGCCTTTATCTACTGGTCTTATGTATTGTTCACTACATTTAGGAGCAGGTCAACTGAAGCTTTTCCTCTGATGGAATATTCCCTGTCTTGTCTGAAAAGTGAATGAACAAGAAAATATTCTGGCCTTTTTGTAGGATACTGTCCGTTTATGATGTATTCATGCTGGAAAAAGAGACAGGTGTGAAATTAGCACTTGTGCAAACGTCTTTGTGAATGAGGCCCTTATTATGATATCAGACTGAAGTTGGTCACGCTACATATTTTCTATGTTATTAAGACTTCCCTCCTCGTGTGTGTGTGTGTGTTTGTGTGTGTGTGTGTGTGTGTGGGGGGGGGGGGGGGGGGTCTAACCCCCTCTCCCCTGCTCTCTTCCTGCCCTCTCTACCTCTCCTCTCCACTGCTGCTTAAAATTGCACTTAGCCTACTTTGCTTGTAAATATCCCTTGCTATCTGTTGTTGTTTTTAAATATGTGATTTTGTTTGTATGTATTGTGGTTGCTGCAAAATGAATGGCCTCATTGAAAACAATCTGAATCCTCTCCTCCTCTAAGGGTTATTGGGCCTTCTTCATGGTGGATGGTAATGGGCTTTTCTCAGCCTTCTACAAAGCCCTGCAGCTCCTGGACTTCTACCTTGGCGTCCTCCTGTCATTCAACCCTGTGTTTGGAGTGGACGTGAGTAATTGGACACACCTCTACACTGACATTGCAACACAACACAAGCCTATATGGTGGTGGCATATATAGGAACGTTTGATTAAGAATCAAACTGTAGTTGACATTACGCATAGTGTTTTTTTGACTTGCCAGTTCATAGTGTTTAAAAAAAACATCCTGGCCAGGTCACAAAGTTAGGACAGTCCCTCATAGCATTCAGTCATTTCCACATGTAAAGCAGAGACCCTGTGATTTATTGCAAACTCTAATGCTTGACCAGTGGAGGCTGCTGAGTGGAGGACGGCTCATAATAATGGCTGGAATGGAGCGAATGGAATGGCATCAAACACATGGAAACCATGTGTTCAATGTGTTTGTTACCATTCCACTCATTCTGCTCCGGCCATTACCACGAGCCTGTCCTCCCCTATTAAGCTGCCACCAGCCTCCTGTGGGCTTGACATATTGCTCTCTGATGTTTTTCTGGCTTCAGTGGCCTGTGTTGTGTTCGTTATTGACGTGCTGCTTATTGTATTAATATACTTTTAGTCTGGTTGATGTCATGTGCCTGTTTGTCTGATACAGCTGTGTTGATGCTTCTGTCTTGGTCCAGGTCTCTCTTGAAAAATATATTTTTATCTCAACGAGACTAAAGGTTCAAATAAAAATATATGGAAATAAATGTCACCAGTATGTATGTCCCACATCGTCTCTCTGTGTGTCTGTTAAACAGTCCCTGTGCGTGATGGTGGAGGTGGAGAAAACCAAGAACTACTGGGTCCTCCAGGCCACCGAAGGCATTGGCATGGCTATCATTGTCTTCATGGTAGGTCCCTCTCACACACACTCTGATGAACGCTGCTGTGTGCTTTGCAAGTGTTCATTTTACATGTACATTTTGGTCATTTAGCAGATGCTCTTGTCTTACAGTCATTGCATTAAACTAAGGTTGGTTTATAAAAAACATGTCACAGCAAGTAAAACATTTCTGTAACCGTTACTGAGAATGTTGTTGTAGTTAAGGATATGTTAGTCTTCAAGGCATTTTGTATTTGTAACAAGATACCCTTTGATGTATCTTTGCCCAATTCTGGCAAGTGCCAAGTACTTTACTGTATTATTCACAGTAACTTACCACCAGCTTCCTGTAAATTACTGTAATATCAGAGCAACGATACAGTGCAATAGTGTAACATTTGCCTACTATACTGTAAGATAGTAAATGCTACTGTAATCATAACATTTTTATTTTACAGTATTTTACTGTAATTACATGGGATTGGTGCAAGCAGGTTGGCTGTTAGGTATTTGTATATTACAGTACATTTATTAATATGTTGTGTTTTATATCACTTGCACTTCTAGAGGCCTAAACAAAGGCTTCCAAACTGGCCATGATTACAGAGCAAAACAGACAAAAAGGACTTGGCAAAACACTCAACCAGTAAAGGTTTAAAGGTCCTGAACAGTCATTCTGAAAAGTACTTTTTCTCTCTTGGCTAACTACCAGAAAGTTTGAAAAGACAGGCTGAGTGGGCGGGGAGCTTATATTCATGAGCTTGCCTTGACTGACAGCACTTTCAAACGCCTATGTCAAGCAACTTGGATGCAGTGAGCAATGTTGTAGTAAAATTATCTCAAGCTAATTTGGTGATACACAAAGCAACTCAAACAACATTGCCTGTTTGGCATTTCTCTTGTGATACGGTTCACAGGAGCACTGACGGCTGTGTTGACTTGACAACTGTCAGAGTTTTGAACGACCCTTCCCCCCCTTTGGTTCCATGCTGTCTGAAGACCTATAATAATAATATGCCATTTAGCAGACGCTTTTATCCAAAGCGACTTACAGTCATGCGTGCATACATTTTTGTGTATGGGTGGTCCCGGGGATCGAACCCACTACCTTGGCGTTACAAGCGCCGTGCTCTACCAGCTGAGCTACAGAGGACCACACTAGCTAGCTAGTAACTAGCTAACACATATGTAGCTAACACCAGACACAGATGAAAGGGGAAACATATGTATCTTTGCCATAGATGAATAGTGTGAAGTTTTAATTATATTAGCTTACAGTCACATTTTGCCACCATTAAAGTAGCTATCTAGCTATATAAACTACATCCCTCTGCAAAAACGCCTTCTCCGATGTTGGTTACAAGGCGGTACTTATTTAAATTAGGTAAGAGATTTTGGTGTATTAAAATGAGAGTTAAGGTGATGTCACCTTGTCCCCTTAATAATTCATCAAAGTGTTTGACATGGGGGAGGGGACGAGTAACTTTATGATACAATTTTATCAATGTAGAAGCAACAGTCATTTTTCATACTTTGGTCATCATACTTTGATCTGGTTTCCTTCAAATATCTTCAAATTTAATGAGAAACATGATTTTGACTGTTCATGACCTTTAAGACTTGCTGCCACTGATCTGTCCAGAATCATGATTCTCGAGTCAGTAAAAAGAGTCAGGAATCGTTCTCTAACTGAACATCACTAATCATCACATCTATGCGCTCTCCTCCTCTCACATTTTCAACAGCTGTTTTTGTCCTGACAAAAATAATCTCTCCAAGCAAAACCTTCATACCATAACCGCTAACCAGTACACACTGCCTACATCATTGTCACCATATTAGCTAACTCCGTAGTCAACATACAGTACCAGTCAAAAGTTTGGACACACCTACTCATTCAAGGGTTTTTCTTTATTTTTACTATTTTTTACATTGTAGAATATATATAATAATATATATATATATAGCAATCTCTTTTTTAAGAAATTAATATTGTCTTTCTCTGTCTTTGAGTCAACTACTCACCACATGTTATGCACTGCAGTGCTAGCTAGCTGTAGGTTAGGCTTTCAGCACTAGATTTATTCTCTGATCCTATGATTAGATGGACAACATGTCAGTTCATGCAGCAAGAGTTCTGATAGGGTTGGAAGACGTTGTCATAATTACTGTGTAAGTCTATAGAAGAGGGTGAGAACCATGAGCCTCCTAGGTTTTGTATTGAAGTCAGTGTACTCAGAGGAGGACGGAAAATAGCAGTCCTCCGGCTACACCATGGTGCTACCCAACAGAGTGCTGTTGAGGCTACTATATACCTTCATTGCAAAACAGTGTGTTTTAATCAGCTATTTAGTGATGTGAATATACACTGAGTGAACAAAACATTAGGAACACCTGCTCTTTCCATGGCATAGACTGACCAGGTGAATCCAGGTGAAGGCTGTGATCCCTTATTGATGTCAGTTGAGACATGGATTGTTGTATTTGTGCCATTCAGAGGGTGAATGGGCAAGACAAAAGATTGAATTGCCTTTGAACGGGGTATGATAATAGGTGCCAGACGCACCGGTTTGAGTGTGTCAAGAACTGCGACGCTGCTGGGTTTTTCACACTCAACAGTTTCCCGTGTATATCAAGAATTGTCCACCACCCAAAGGATATGCAGTCAACATGGGCCAGCACCCCTGTGGAACGCTTTGGACACCTTGTAGAGTCCATGCCCTGATGAATTGAGGCTGTTCTGAGGGCGAAAGGGGGTGCAACTCAATATTAGGAAGATGTTCCAAATGTTTTGTACACTCCATGTATTTAGTATAGTTTTATCTATAAAGGATAACTTTTTCAATGTTTCACTATTTACATTTTACTGAAATTCACTGAGTAGGATGATCCTCCCATTCCTCCTCTGAGGACCCTCCACTGCTATACAGATCATTCCTATCTTCACTTGCTATAACAAACAGCTGTTTAGGGGGCAGGGTAATTATGTCTGAGCTCACTGCAAATTCAATACTGGTCAGATCCTTATTCTCACTCTGATCAATGTCGTGTAAGTACTTGGTACCATCAGGACCTACATGTATATCATCTCTCTTATAACCGCCTCCTAACAAGTTTCTCATATCAAAGTCAGTTGGCCAGGTCATGCTCTTAACCTTTTGGGCATTTTAAACCTTTCATATTTATAATTTTAAAAGATAAGGATACAAATGCTTTAATTAGAACCAACATTTTTTTTAAAGCTTCTATGAAAATCTATATAAATCAGAATTAAACAATGTTGGAATGATCCTACAGCCTTCTTAGACTCAATAACTCTGAAGCAACTATCAGCAGACAAAAAATTATCACTAAAAATAGAAATCACCCAAAACTAAACATTAGACACTCTTAAAACATTTGCACGGAAAAAGGCACCAGGTATGGACAGCTTTCCCATAGATTTTTATTTGACATTCTGGGACAAAGTAGCGGCCCATTTACTCAAAAGACTACACACATGTCACTCAATTCAGTGCTTCTGAATTCCATGTATCAAACTGTTATTTAAGTTGAATTAAAACCAGGGAAATCTAGAGAATACCCTGCATATTACAGACCCATATGTTTAATAAATTGCAACAAGAAAATAATAACAAAACTCATAAGCAACAGAATGGCAAAAGTCTTACCAGACTTGATACATATTAATCAAACAGGGTTTATAAAAATAGACACTTACAAACAAACACAAGAACATGTTTCAGTATAATGCAATTCGCTTAAAAACAAGATGTAGATTTATCAATAATGGCTGTTGATGCCAAAAACGCTTTCAACTGTCTTGAATGGCCTTTTCTAAGAAGAAACGTTGGAATCCTTCAATTGTCCAGCTGAAATAATACGTTTTATAAAAAATATTATATATATATATATATATACTAAAGCAAAAATATACACAAATAATACATTATCTGATGTAATTGCTTTAGAAAGGGGCACGAGACAGGGATGTCCTCTCTTCCCCTCCTGTTTGCACTGGAAATTGAACCACATGCCGAAAGAATAACTCATGATCTACAGAAATGCTATAAGTGGACCACAAAAAATCTTAAATACTTAGGATTCTTAATAACTGACAACAAACAACAAATATATAAAGATAACTTGATCCCATTACTCAACAACATGAAAACAGATCTAATTAAATGAAACAATCTTCCCAGAAATCTTACAGGTACAATAAACCTCTTTAGAATGGCATGGTTCCCAAAGTTTTTATATTTATTTTCGGTAATACCAATTACCCCACTAAAGACATTCTTTAACCTCTATGGGATCGGTTTCCCATATACGGGACGGTTGAGCTAACGTGCGCTAATGTGATTAACATGACTTTTGTAAGTAACAACAAACTTTCCAGGACATAGACATGTCTTATATGGGCAGAACGCTTAAATTATTGTTAATCTAACTGCACTGTCCAATTTACAGTAGCTATTACAGTGAAAAAATTCCATGCTATTGTTTGAGGAGAGTGCACAACAGCAAAAATATTATCACGGCAACTGGTTTGATACGTTCACCTCTGAAGGCAAATAATGTACAATTATTCAGGAATCTTGCTCTGATTTGTATCCTAAGGGTCCCAGATATAAAATGTAGCATAGTTTTGTTTAATAAAATCAATTTTTATATTCAAATGTAGGAACTGGGTTCTACAGTTTGAACCCCTGCTGTCTCTGGCTCCACACCCACCCCGCCCGGCCATCTAGATTTGTGAATGTTAGTGTAAAAGCTAATGATCCATCATGTATGACATTCCTGGGAGTGTGTAAACTTACCATATCATTTTTTGTATGTTCTCTATAGTTATGTACTTCAAAATTTATCAATTGACCAATTCGGCACATTTGGGCAGACTTGATACAAAATAGTCCAGTATTGCAATGCTTCACTGGATCAATCTGAAACTTTGCACACACACTGGTGCCATCTAGTGGCCAACATGTACATTTCGCCTAAACTGCAATATTATATTGTGGCCTTTCTCTTGCATTTCAAAGATGATGGAACCATTTTTCTTTTTTGAAAACACTTGTTTTTTTGTTTGTATTATCTTTTACCAGATATGATGTGTTATATTCTCCTACATTAATTTCACATTTCCACAAACTTCAAACTGTGTCCCTTCAAATGGTATCAATAATATGCATATCCTTGCTTCAGGTCCTGAGCTACAGGCAGTTAGATTTGGGATTTTTCATTTTAGGTGAAAATTGAAAAAAAGGGTCCGATCCTTAAGAGGTTTTAAAAGTATACTCAGCCATAACATACTTTATATGGGTAAATAAAACTCATAGAATAAAAACGTTTTAGAAATCCCTAAGTCTGACGGTGGTTTTAACCTTCCAGCATTGGAATTGTATCAACTCGCCACCCAAGGCTTTTATTTGCTAAATATTTTTTAATGCACTAAAGAGGAACCATGGTTACATATTGAAGATATGCATGCTCATCCCCAGAATCTTTTCACGTGTTTGTTTTCAAAGGATGGAGCTAAGAACAACTTCATAGTTGAAAACACTGTAACATTATAGAAGAAAATGAAACCGATTCTACAAGAATCAATAGCGCTCCCAAAAAACAAACCCCTATCGAACAATCCTTGGACAGCTTTTCAGAATTCACCAATAAATTGTCCCACATGTTGTATTACTAAAGGCATAGAAACCGTAAATTACTTGGTAGTAATAGGAAATAAAATGATTTCCATGACAGAATTAAAAACCCATTTTGGACTGACCAATGTAGACAGTTTCAAATACATGCAACTTAAAACTTTTATATTATAAAATGTCAATCTGAAATCTTTTGGACATCAGATCAATGTTGAGGGAATTCTATTTCAGTCAGAAAGGTTACTCATATGAGGTAAGATATATAAAACCTTGCAGAAAGCCTATCCAACTGACAATCTCATAGAAAAAAATATAAACTATTGGAATCAAGACCTAAAAATAACTAATATTGGCACAAGATGGAGGGAGTGTTGTAACATAACTGACTAAATTACAGTTAACGAAAATTATATGAGAAAAAATTCACAAATTCTACAGCACAACGGCAGAGTCATGTCTTAAGTGTAAAACTAACAGTGACTCAATGATTCTTGCCTTCTGGGATTGCTATAAAGTCCAAAAGTTATGGGCGGAGTACATTTATATTTTAAAACTTCTGACAGCCAACTTTCTAGGCTGTCAGAAGTTTTAAAATATAAATGTACTTTTAATCTGTATATCTGCATATTTCAAGGCGTGGCATATGAGGGTGCGGTGAGATACCCAATAGGTTGGACCGTACTTTTCTCGTCAATCATTTTGAAAAAACTTTTGCTTAAAAACTGGGAAATCAAATGACCCTCCATCGTTAAGACAGTTTATGAATCAAATGCATTATTGAACTGGAGATATTCAAAGGATGAGGAAGAAGAGAAAATCATATTGTGAGACAGGCAGGATCAGTTTGGATACGGTGGAAACATGTGGGTCTGAGCAAGTGTGATGTCATCAATGTTTGTAGAAATTAATGTACTGTATGTAAATGTTAAGTTGTCTATTGTTTTTGTCTATATATGTTTTTGTATTGTAAGAAAAATTATTTTTAAAATGAGATGGTAGCAGGTCTATGTCTGCAGGTGCTTTCAGTAAGTCAACTTTAAGCTGAATATTTCTTAGTATTCCATCATCCAGCACACCAATATTCTTCCAGACGGAAAAAACATGTTTTGCTGTCCCCATTAAAAGATTATGCATAGGGTCCACTACAGCCATGTCTATGGGCATGAAATATGGCAATTTATACTGAACAAAAATATAAACGCAACATGTAAAGTGTTGGTCCCATGTTTCATGAACTAAAATAAAAGATCCCAGAAATGTTCCATACGAACAAAAAGCTTATTTCTCTCTAATGTTGTGCACAAATTTGTTTACGTCCCTGTTAGTGAGCATTTCTTCTTTGCCAAGATAATCCATCCACCTGACAGGTGTGGCATGTCAAGAAGCTGATTAAACAGCATGATTATATCATTACACAGGTGCACCTTGTGCTGGGGCCACTCTAAAGTGTGCAGTTTTGTCATACAAAACAATGCCACAGGTGTCTCAAGTTTTGAAGGACCGTGTTATTGGCATGCTGACTGCATGAATGTTAATTTCTCTATAATAAGATGCCTCCAACATCAGTTTCGAGAATTTGACAGTACGTCCAACCGGCCTCACAACCGCAGACCACGTGTAACCACGCCAGCCCATGAACTCCACATCCTGCTGATTGGTTGGACCCATGGCTGCGCCCCTGCCCAGTCATGTGAAATCCATAAATTAGGGCCTAATTCATTTATTTCAATTGACTGATTTCCTTCTATGAACTGTAACTCAGTAAAATCTTTGAAATTGTTGCATGTTGCGTTTATATGTTTTTTCAGTGCATTCGGAAAGAATTCAGACCCTTCGCTATGAGACTCGAAATTGAGCTCGGGTGCATCCTGTTTTTATTGTACATCCTTGAACAACTTTATTGGAGTCCACCTGTGGTAAATTCAATTTTGAAAAGGCACACATCTGTCAATATAAGGTCCCACAGTGCATGTCAGAGTAAAAACCAAGCCATGAGGTCAAAGGAATTGTCTGTAGAGCTCAGAGACAGGATTGTGTCGAGGCACAGATCTGAGGAAGGGTACCAAAAAATTTCTGCAGCATTGAAGGTCCCCAAGAACACAGTGGCCTCCATCATTCTTAAATGGAAGAAGTTTGAAACCACCAAGACTCTTCCTAGAGCTGGCCGCCTGGCCAAACTGACCAATCAGGGAGAAGGGCATTGGTCAGGGAGGTGACCAAGAACCTGATGATCACTCTGACAGAGCTCCAGAGTTCCTCTGTGGAGATGTGAGAACCTTCCAGAAGGACAACCATCTCTGCAGCACTCCACCAATCAGGCCTTTATGGTAGAGTGGCCAGACGGAAGTCACTCCTTAGTAAAAGGCACATGACAGCCCGCTTGGAGTTTGCCAAAAGGCACCTAAAGGACTCTCAGACCATGAGAAATAAGATTCTCTGGTCTGATGAAACCTAAATTGAACTATTTGGCCTGAATGCCAAGCGTCTCGTCTGGAGGAAACCTGGCACCATCCCTACAGTGAAGCATTTTGGTGGCAGCATCATGCTGTGGGGATGTTTTTCAGTGGCAGGGACTGAGAGACAAGTCAGGATCGAGGGAAAGATGAACGGAGCAAAGTACAGAGAGATCCTTGATGAAAACCTGCTCCAGAGTACTCAGGACCTCAGACTGGGACGAAGGTTCACCTTCCAACAGGACAACAACCCTAAGCACACAGCCAAGACAACACATGAGTGACTTCGGGACAAGTCCCTGAATGTCCTTGAGTGGCCCAGCCATCTCTGGAGAGACCTGAAAATATCTGTGCAGCGACGCTCCCCATCCAACCTTACAGAGCTTGAGAGGATTTGCAGAGAAGAATGGGAGAAAGTCCCAAAATACAGGTGTGCCAAGCTTACCCAAGAAGACTTGAGTCTGAATACATATGTAAGTGTGACATTCCGTTTTTAATTTTTTATACATTTGCAAATAATTCTAAAAACCTGTTTTGCTTTGTCATTATGGGGTATTGTGTGTAGATTGATGAGGGGAAAAAAACAATTTAATCAATTTCAGAGTAAGGCTGTAACGTAACAAAAAAATGAAAAAGTCAAGGGGTCTGAATACTCTCCGAATGCACTGTAAATAGCTCAGAGAAACTGGCCCCAGTTTCAGTCTCTATTGTTTTCCTCTCTGCCTTGTCCACATATTCCCTTGCATTTTGTGAACCTCATTCTGACGTTGCCGTACATGGTTGTCCGTCCAGTGCATGATGTCGTAATCTGCTTTTTCACCCCATTTCCGTGGAACTGTCTGTAGGCATTTGTTGCAACCTCTGTGAGCTTGACCTGGATCTGTGTTGTTGAACAGATAAAAAGATGGTGGTGAAATTCCAAGTAGGCTACATAAGTTAAAGACATTACACTATAAAAAAAAACGTTTCTAATAAAAGTATCTAACAGAATGACATTGAAAATCAACAGGGGCCTGAAAAGCCTGGCAATAAAGTAGCCAACTTCATAAATAGTTATGATATATTATCAATGTACACTAGTTTTTAGTTGGAGAATAGGCTAGACAAGAGTGGCGCAATGGTCTAAGGCACTGCGTCGCAGTGCTAGCTGTGCCACTAGAGATCCTGATTCGAATCCAGGCTCTGTCGTAGCCGGCCGCGACCGGGAGACCCATGGGGCGGCGCACAATTGGCCCAGCGTCGTCCAGGGTAGGGGAGGGAATGGCCGGCAGGGATGTAGCTCAGTTGGTAGAGCATGGCGTTTGCAACGCCAGGGTTGTGGGTTCGATTCCCACGGGGGGCCAGTATATAAAAATAAAATAATGTATGCACTCACTAACTGTAAGTCGCTCTGGATAAGAGTTTCTGCTAAATGACTAAAATGTAATGTAAGATTACGAATGCTTTTACAGAGGAGACACAAACAACTCTGTAATAATAAACACACATGTACCATGTTCATCCTGACAAAGTAACTTCTGGGTCTATTCTTGCTGCAATGGCAATTCCTCGGGAAAGGTGGCTGTGTCTTGTCGTTCAACTGTCCATTGATGAGTGAATTTATCATAGAACTTAGCTTTGTGTTCATAGCATGCTGTCTTTCCCAAAAGTCTATGGCAGTGGCCACACTCATGGGCCAAGTCCTGGGTTTGAGATCATCTGCCTTGCGTTTTGACATGATAGACACTAAATCCATTCTTACAGCCAATCATCAATAAATAAGGCAGAGATATTCTATGTGTAATTACCCGACAAAGGCTTTGAGTGAAGTCTTGTGGATCTGTGCCCCTAAAGTCAAAGATGGTGGATAAATGAAGATGTCTTACTCAGGCCGTTTACCATTGAAAAAATGGTCAAAGTTCCAGTTTACTTAAGGGGTGGCTCTCCCATAACCACCTATGTAAATTAGTTAATTGACCAATAAGAAAGAGTTCCAAACCTTTCTGCCAATAACAGCTAGTTTTCAGTGGTCCCCTCCCCACTCAGACCACTCCTAGACAGTCTTGCTTGAGAAATTGCTATTTGCTGAAAAGCTATTTTTGTTTCTTTTTGACCATTTTAATTGAAAACAATCACAGTAAGGTACAGTACCAGTCAAAAGTTTGGACACACCTACTCATTCAAGGGTTTTCTTTATTTTTACTATTTTCTACATTGTAGAATAATAGTGAAGACATCAAAACTATGAAATATATTTTATATTTGAGAATCTTCAAAGTAGTCTCCCTTTGCCTTGATGACAGCTTTGCACGCTCTTGGCATTCTCTCATCCAGCTTCACCTGGAATACTTTTCCAACAGTATTGAAGGAGTTCCCACATATGCTGAGCACTTCTTGGCTGCTTTTCCTTCACTCTGCGGTCCAGCTCATCCCAAACCATCTCAATTGGGTTGAGGTCGGTGATTGTGGAGGCCAGGTCAGCACTCCATCACTCTCCTTCTTGGTCAAATAGCCCTTACACAGCCTGGAGGTGTGTTGGGTCATTGTCCTGTTGAAAAACAAATGATACTCCACTAAGTGCAAACCAGATGAGATGGCGTATCACTGCAGAATGCTGTGGTAGCCATGCTGGTTAAGTGTGCCTTGAATTCTAAATAAATCACAGATAGTGTCACCAGCAAAGCACCCCCACACCATCACACCTCCTCCTCCATGCTTCATGGTGGGAACCACATATGCAGAGATCATCCATTCACCTACTCTGCGTCTCACAAAGACACGGCGGTTGGAACCAAAAATCTCAAATTTGGACTCATCAGACCAAAGGACAGATTTCCACCAGTCTAATGTCCATTGCTCGTGTTTCTTGGCCCAAGCAAGTCGCTTCTTCTTATTGGTGTCCTTTAGTAGTGGTTTCTTTGCAGCAATTCGACCATGAAGGCCTGATTCACACAGTCTCCTCTGAACAGTTGATGTTGAGATGTGTCTGTTACTTGAACTCTGTAAAGCATTTATTTGGGCTGCAATTTCTGAGGCTGGTAACTCTAATTAACTGATCCTGTGCAGCAGAGGTAACTCTGGGTCTTCCATTCCTGTGGTGGTCCTCATGAGAGCCAGTTTCATCATAGCGCTTGATGTTTTTTTTTTTTTTCACCTTTATTTAACCAGGTAAGCCAGTTGAGAACAAGTTCTCATTTACAACTGCGACCTGGCCAAGATAAAGCAAAGCAGTGTGATAAAAACAACAACACAGAGTTACATATTGGGTAAACAAAACATAAAGTAAAAAATACAACAGAAAATATATATACAGTGTGTGCGAATGTAGTAAGTTATGGAGGTAAGGCAATAAATAGGCCATAGTGCAAAATAGTTACAATTTCGTGTTAACACTGGAATGATAGATGTGCAAAAGATGATGTGCAAATAGAGATACTGGGGTGCAAATTAGCAAAATAAATAATATGGAGATGAGGTAGTTGGGTGGGCTAATTTCAGAAAGGCTGTGTACAGGTGCAGTGATCGGTTTTTGCGACTGCACTTGAAGAAACTTTCAATGTTCTTGAAATGTTTCCGTATTGACTGACCTTGTCTTAAAGTAATGATGGACTGTCGTTTCTCTTTGGTTATTTGAGCTCTTCTTGCCATAATATGGACCTGGTCTTTTACCAAATAGGGCTATCTTCTGTCTTGTCACAACACAACTGATTGGCTCAAACGCATTAAGAAGGAAATAAATTCCACAAATTAACTTTTAAGAAAGCACACCAGTTAATTGAAATGCATTCCAGGTGACTACCTCATGAAGCTGGTTGAGAGAATGCCAAGAGTGTGCAAAGCTGTCATCAAGGCAAAGGGAGGCTACTTTGAAGAATCTCAAATATAAAATATATTTTGATTTGTTTAACACTTTTTTGGTTACTACATGATTCCATATGTGTTATTTCATAGTTTTGATGTCTTCACTATTATTCTACAATGTAGAAAATAGTAAGAAATTATGAAAGATCCTTGAATGAGTAGGTGTGTCCAAACTTTTGACTGGTACTGTACTTAATAGTTACCCAGAAATTATTTGATATTGAGATAAAAATGGCTGCATTGGACCTTTAACAGTTCTGAAATGTGCATTTTGATGCTGCGTCTCCAGGTCATCCACATTTTGTGTAAGTTGGCGTACGGTGATGCGTGGTGGTCAGCAGCGATGGTGACTGACCATGGGGACAGACGTCAGTCAGTGAGTCGCCAGCCTTCCTTCACCCTGTCAGAGTGGACAGACGCCCAGGAGGACCTGATGGACCTGGAAGCTGAACCCCAGACACCTGTCTTTGACCTGGGCCTGGACACCAGGACAGAGGGGGACATCACCACCCTCTCTGTTACACCTGTGGGCCTGCAGGAGAGGTCAGTGGGAGGATGGAAGTGGGTGGAGAGGTGGTCTAGGGGGAATGTCTGTGTGTGTATGCGTTCATGCCTTTTTCTTGTGTGTGTTGTTGTGCTTCTGTGTGTGCGTGCACAATTACAATACAACGTTCTTCTTGTATATGTCTGTACGTTTGTTCTTCTTGTATGTGTTGGTGCCGTCCTGTGTGTGTGTGGGTGTGTACGTGTCTGTGTGTGTGTTAGGAGGGGCTCCAACGTGTCTCTGACCCTGGACATGTGTTCTCCTGGCTGTACGGAGCCCTATGGCTATGGAGCCCAGCTCTCCCCCAGAGACCAGACTGCCAAGGAGTACCTGAGGGAGGGAACAAACACACTCACCCCTAGCCAGCTCCACACACGCGCTATAGACAACCAGGCCCTACAGGCTGAGTTCTATGTGAGTAACACACACACACACACACCAAGAAGCGCTGTACACCCAGAGGCTACCATAAACAGTTGGTGGGTGAGATGTGGACACAGTGAAAGACATTAGCATACCCAGCTCTATAGAGGATACATTACACATTTAGGCTGAGATACACACACACTCACACACACACACACTCTCTCTCTCTCTCTCTCTCTCTCTCTCTCTCTCTCTCTCTCTCTCTCTCTCTCTCTCTCTCTCTCTCTCTCTCCCTCTCCCTCTCCCTCTAAGACCAAGGTACTGTAGGTCTACACACTCACAATCGCACAAAACAGGTCTCCGTGCAGGAATACTGTACACACTCACATGCATTCTCTAAGGTAGAGGGGACAATAAAGTCAGTAAAGTAAAGTAGAGGTACACACTCACAATTAGAGCACAATAAATCAAGGAGAGTTGAAATCACAGAGTAATTTTTGTTGTTGTTGTTGACTTGACTCTGCTGGAGTTATCTTAACCCTCAACAGTGATACGCTCCCTGGAGTTAGTGTTGACAACTGGAGTTGATTGGGCCTGAGTACTTTTAACTCCATTAAGAGTAACCAGAGACAGGGAGTTAAAACTATGGAGTATCCACAGATGTGGGAAGGGCGTCATTGTCATATTTCCCAGCATGCTCTGTTGCAGGTAGGTTCTTAGAATTGTTTGTTTTAATTTCTCTGTTTTCGCATGTTTGATCTTATGCTACACAATATGTAACATACATTTTCCTAAACTAATCTAATCTGTAAGTGGTTGGATTTATTGCAATTTACTGAGAAGGAATGTCACTAGTGTAGAGAGCAGTAGGCAGTCGCAGGTTTAGAACTACTGAATTTATTTAAGCACCATAGAACAAAGCGGGGCGAAACCCAAACGCTGTTGTGCTCAAAATATAACTTAATAAACAAAAAGGCACAGGGCAAACCCAAAGTGCAAAATAAAATACTCAGGAAATAGTAGGAGAGATTCCTCTCAGGAAAACAAGTAACATTTACAATGACTGACAAATACAAATGGCAGAGGGAGTATATATACAGTGATAGAGTGGGGATTGGAACCAGTTGTGTGTAATGATGACAAGACAAGTCCGGGGTTGATGAGTGAACGGCGTTTGCCAGCAGCAGGTTCGGCAGAAGCTAAAAGGCCGGCGACGCCGAACGCCTGAGCTGGACAGGAGGGGAAGCCAAAGCGAAGGCTGGTGTGACAAGGCAGTTCTAGTTTATGTGATCTAGGTAGTCTGTAACAAAAGGACTCTCTTCCCTGCTCTGACTTGCAGAGTCATGGGTGATGCAAAATTGCAGGATATCCTCCCTCTTACAGTGCATTCGGAAAGTATTCAGACCCCTTCACTTTTTCCACATCTTGTTACGTTACAGCCTTATTCTAAAATTGATTAAATTGCTTTTTTCTCTCATCAATCTACACACAATACCCCATAATGACAAAGCAAAAACAGGTTTTTAGGCATTTCTGCAAATGTATTAAAATAAAAAATTTAAATATCACATTTACATAAGTATTCAGACACTTTACTCAGTACTTTGTAGAATAATAGTGATTACAGCCTCAAGTCTTCTTGGGTATGACGCTACAAGTTTGGCACACCTGTATTTGGGGAGTTTCTCCGATTCTTCTCTGCAGATCCTCTCAAGCTCTGTCAGGTTGTATGGGGAGCGTCGCTGCACAACTATTTTCAGGTCTCTCCAGAGATGTTCGATGGGGTTCAAGTCGGCTCTGGTGGCCACCAAGGAATCAGAGACTGTCCCGAGCCACTCGTTGTCTTGGCTGTGTGCTTAGGGTGTTGTCCGTTGGAAGGTGAACTTGCCCAGTCTGAGGTCCTGAGTGCTCTGGAGAAGGTTTCATCAAGGTTCTCGTACTTGCTCGTCATCAATCAATTTTTTATATACCTATCAGCTATATCTCGAAGTGCTGTACAGAACCACCTAAACCAACAGCATAAGCAGTGAGAAGCACGGTAGGAAACTCAGAAAGGCAAACTGAGAACCAGAGAGGAACAGGTATGGGGGTGCCAGTCCTCTTTGGCGTGCGGTGGAATTATAAATGACCTCTCCAAATTTCAAAATTCCATAAGTGACAAAGACATGGTTGCAAATTAATAATCAAATTATAAATTCAGTTGCTTTTCATAGCCGATCATAAGTTTTTAAACGCAGGGTTTGGACAGGGAGGGGTTCCATTCCTGCAGGCAAACCAGTTTAGGCTGGGGACAGCAGGAGTTCACGCTCCGACGTATCAGGTTCTCTCTGGCTTTCACGATCTTAAGGTTGAACAAGGTCGGGACAGGTAGGGGTTTCGATCCTCAGTCTCCCGTCCCTGCCACTGAAAAACATCCCCACAGCATGAATGCTGCACCACATGCTTTCCATCATCCCGTATTATGGTTGACCAGGTTTCGCTCCAGACGTGGACACTTGCCATCAGGTCCAAATAAGTAAAATCTTGGTTTTAATATAAATCAAACCAGAGAATCGTGTTTTCTCATGTGTCTTGCGAGATCCTTAAGGGTGCCGTTTTTGGCAAACTCCAAGTGGGATTTCAGGTGGCCTTTTGCTGAGGAGTGGCCTTCCCGTCTGGGCCACTCTACCAGAAAAGGCCCTGATTGGTTGGAGAAAATGCAGAGATGGTTGTCCTCTGGAAGGTTCTCCAATCTCCACAGAGGAACTCTGGAGCTCTGTCAGAGTGACCATCGGACTCTTGATCACCTCCCTGACCAAGGCCCTTCTCCCCCGATTGCTCAGTTTGGCCAGGCGGCCAGCTCTAGAAAGAGTCTTGGTGGTTCCAAACTTCTTCTGTTTAAGAATGATGGAGGCCACTGTGTTTTTGGGGACCTTCAATGCTGCAGAAATGAGTTGGTACCCTACCCCAGATCTGTGCCTCGACACAATCCTGTCGCGGAGCTCTACAATTCCTTCGACCTCATGGCTTGGTTTTTGCTCTGACATGCGCTGTCAACTGTGGGACCTTATATAGACAGATGTGTGCCTTTTCAAATAATGTCCAATCAATTGAATTTACCACAGGTGGACTCCAATCGAGTTGTAGAAACATGTCAAGGATGATCAATGGAAACAGGATGCACCTGAGCTCATTTTCAAGTCTCATAGCAAAGGGTCTGAATATTTATGTAAATAAGGTATATCTGATTTCTGGTATTGTGTGTGGATTGATGAGGGGAAAAATTATTTAATCCATTTTAGAATAAGGCTGTAACGTAACAAAATGTGGAATAAGCGAAGGGGTCTGAATACTTTTCGAATGCACTGTAAATGGATACCAGTAGAGATTGGATGTCACATTGTAAGCCACCATAATATGACACATTAAGAAATATGTGAATGAGACTCATTCTACACCCTTACACCTCAAATGGGACCATTTAAACACCCAAATAGTGTTGTGTTTGAGTCCATAGGAGTTTAATTAACTCTTGCGATTATATTGTGAGTAAACATTACTCTAAATAATTTACTCTAGAATACTGAACAACAATGCAGAGAGTTATTTTCAATTAATACTGTACAGAGTGAAATGCAGAGTTAAATATCAACACTAAACTGATCATATAAAACTCTGGAAAAAAAATGTTGCCAGAGTATGTTTTACCTCTTTTTAGAGTGGGACCAAATGTTATCTGTGGCAGAGTTACATTTTCTTCAATTAGAGTGAAATGTACTCTGTCATTTGTGTATAAACTATTTGTGTATAAACTATTTGTTTACAATACACACAAACAGAGACACTCACACAATCATGCACATTGCACACACAATTCAGCAGGGCTATCACTTCCTCTACACAGCCATACATTGCTAAGCTACATCCATTATTCTGTTGCCATTGACAGGAAACTCCCATGAACTTTGTGGACCCAAAGGAGTATAACTACCCAGGCCTGGTGAGAAAGAACCGCTACAAGACCATCCTCCCCAGTGAGTAGAGACACTACAAACAGCAGCCATTTTGAATCAGTCTCTGTTATGTCGAGTAGAGGTGAGAGACAACACTAGACACACTTCTTGTAATGGGATCCTGTGTTTTCCAGACACACACAGCAGAGTGATACTCCAGACAGCAGATGAAGATGACTTCCTCAGTACCTACATCAACGCTAACTACCTACAGGTACGTCTTTGTCTGCAAAAGGCTTGGCCCTGTGTACAAGTGCTCTCACTTGAACTACTGTGTTGCTGTCCTCAGGGTTACGGGGGTGAGGAGCGGGCGTACATCGCTACCCAGGGTCCTACAGTGAACACAGTGGGAGACTTCTGGAGGATGGTGTGGCAGGAACGCTGTCCTATCATCGTCATGATCACTAACCTAGAGGAGAAGAACGAGGTAAGGAGGGAGACAGGGAGAGAGGGATGGATAGAGGAGGATGGTGTGGTAGAAGCCCACCCTTAACAGTAAATGTCCAATGTGAACCCTGGCTACAATATTTAATAATATTTATAATAATAATTAACCCTGGCTATGTGTTGTCCCTTACAGAAATGTGCGGAGTACTGGCCTGAGGACTCTGTGACCCACGAGGGCATCGAGATCACGGTTGTCACGGTAACACAGGAGGACGACTACAGCCTGAGGGTCTTCACTCTGAAGGTGAGACTGATAACAGACAGACACATACAGTATATATCTATACACCAATGCCAAGGACACCAAGGACATGTATAATGATATAAATTATAAAGTGAAAATGAGAAAAAGCAGTTGATGTTTTTACATTGACCCTTTTGGATTATGGACTCACTTCTCATCCACTAAGCACTGGTGTCTGAATGTAGAGAGATAGAAAAGCTGCCACAAGTACAGCTGTTGGCTAATAATATGCTTTTGAAATCACACAATGAAAAACAGATCATGTACCTTTTTGAAATAAAAAATGAAAAAAGTCACTGCGTTCCTCTCGCAGTCTGGTTCTGCAGTCATTGTTGTCATAGCAACTAACACCTAGGGAACAGTTTGGATGTACATGCAGAGGATGAGGCTGATCAAAAATAACTCTGAATGAGTCTGTCTCTGTTTGTCTGTGTGTGTGTGTGTGTGTCTGTGTCTGTGTCTGTGTGTGTGTGTGTGTGTGTGTGTGTGTGTGTGTGTGTGTGTGTGTGTGTGTGTGTGTGTGTGTGTGTGTGTGTGTGTGTGTGTGTGTGTGTGTGTGTGTGTGTGTGTGTGTATGTGTGTGCGCATGCATATGTGTGTGTGCGCATGCATATGTGTGTGTCAGTTTGATGGAGAGGAGCGCAGCCTCAGGCAGTACTGGTACACCTCCTGGCCTGACCAGAAGACCCCGGACAAAGCCCCGCCCCTCCTGGAGCTGGTAGAGGAAGTGGAGCATGTCAGAGAGGAAGCTCCGCCCACCAGCGGCCCTGTCATTGTCCACTGCAGGTAGAGTTGGAAACACAGATATGATACCCACATGATAGTCCAGGAGGGTTGGTCTGTCCCATAGAGGTAGAAATAGGGCTCTAGATGGATATTTCCCATTCTAGCATGGACATTGCCATTGAGGGATTCCACCATTTTAAAGTAGTCAACTGGGTGGGGATTCCTATGGGTTGGGAGCGATCAGCCAATGATCAGAACATTGTCTTCTTCTTCAAATAGTGTTGCCTATGGTTTGTAAATGATTTAATGCTATATCCGCCATCTAGTTGCCACAACAAATGAAAGACACACAAGATTTGGTTCAGAACTCTACCACTGCAGGTGGCTGTAAATCACCAATATTAGCTTTACGCTTTTTTAAACACAAGAGAAGAAGAACATTTACTACTTTAAAATGGCTATAGCCACAATGTCTCTGCCCGTGCTGTCACAGACGCCATAATGGCAAAAATACAAAGATGAGTCCTCTTTCTATCTCTGGTCGGTACCATCAATGGGGCGGTTGTCTCAGTGGATTCTTTGGAAGGTGTATGCCCCCAAAGATGGAAGACGTGTGGCAGCACTGCAGCTCTCATAGCTTTCCACTGCATTAGTAGTCAGTCAGGTCAGAAATGCTCTAAAACCGTGGTTGGTCACGTCTAATACATTCATGGTTCCTCCTCCTCTTCCTTCCTGCAGTGCTGGGATAGGTCGGACAGGCTGTTTCATCGCCACCTCCATCCTGTGTAAACAGCTGAGGAGTGAGGGCGTGGTCGACATCCTGAGGACCACCTGCCAGCTCCGCCTCGACAGGTGAGTCAACGGTCTGTCTTGGGCTCGCTATCTTTACACCTGTCTGTCTTCTTCTTTTTTCTTGACACCGGTCTGTCTTTCTCTCCTGTCTGTCCCCTGCCTGTGTATGTTGTGTGTGTGTTGTGTGTGTGTTGTGTGTGTGTGTTGCAGAGGCGGGATGATCCAGACGGGTGAGCAGTACCAGTTTGTTCACCATGTCCTCAGCCTCTACGAGAAGCAGCTGTCCCACATTGTAGAGGAGTAGAGACACACCACTGTACTGTACACTGTACCTACTGTACCGGACACCCATCTCAATGTCACCCTTTAACACACACAACCACAAAAACTACACGGACAACAACAACACACTATGTCAGCCTCATCCAGCCCCCTTCCATTTCAGAGGCCCACGTACGAGAAGCCCAGTCTTGACTTAAGTTCCTTAATTCTGCCAGAATTTGACTGATTTGCTTTGCGGACGATGCTCTAAAAGTAACAATGATTACATTTCTGTCTGGCCCCACTTTCTAACGCAAACATTTGTTTTCACACTTGGCAGAGGTCTGTCCAGTAGGATATCTTATAAGACATGTCCCATCAAGTGCCATTTTGAATTATTCACAGACTTCTCCAGATAAGAAAAAGTCCAGCCGATATTACAAGTGTTGTAAAACAATCTCACAGTGAGGGAACACATGTTCGTCTGAAACGTAAACCATCAACTAGCTTTTCTCTCCTATTACAACAAAACTATCTCCTACGAGCAAAAGATGTTGAAAAGACGTATTTTCAAAGTCTTGTGCTCACTGGGCCTCTTAAAATAAAAACAGTACAGCAGGCCTTTCAAACTCCTGGTGCTTTCAGGAGCCACCTCATCTTCAGGTTGCATGGTGCTATGTGTTCATTATCATTGACTGTGGCATGTAACATAGATCTCTATGGAACCATAGAGGAATGTAACCATTAGGTAACTAGGCATTGTGTGCAGTCTCCGCAGTATTACAGGACCATGCGTATGTGTAGTCAGTCAGTCATCATCATGACCTCCATGGTATTCAACATCCATTATGGCCTCATAGACTTTCACCAGAGTTGTCATGTGACCACTGAGACTGAGGGGGCGTGTGCATGTCTCAACTTCTGGGTTCATACAGTGAGAAGTAATGACTGTCACATTAAGTAGCATGGGAATCCAGAGATAGAGGTGCAGATTTACTAGCAAAACATGGACCTGTTACTTTTTTGCGGGAGTAAAATAGCCTGGGTGCCAGTCTGTTTCTGCTCGCTTGCCAACTCCTTATGGAATTGTCATGTTTTGTCAATTACAATGTAGTCTGCAAAAGCACAAACAGATCTGGGACCAGGCTCGAAGAAAAACATAAAAGAGCAAAAGCGTACAAATGTAAAGGTTGCAAGAAGAAACAAAACCTCCAACTGGAGTTTGATGGTTTAGCTTTCCTTTTTACTATATTATTCACCTCTAACAAAGGATGCAGGTGTTAATGATGGGTAAACCTGACCCTCCTAACCCTTCCCATCAGTGCCCTCTCAGTGCTGTTGGGATGGTGACACCTCTGCGATCAACAGTAGCCTGAACACATGCGTGACGTTAGCGGCCCATGATTGTTGTATAGATAGGCCAAGCCTAATCCGTATAAAGCACAATAGACCAACTATGGTTGTCTCTCTGATGTTCAGCTGTAAATGTTATTTTCTGTATCGTGTTTTGACTGTGTTGACTTAAATGGATTGCATGTGCTGTATGGGACTCTCATATGTCCGTAATCAAAGCGAAGTGATTGGTTGTCCAGCTTTCCGTTGTGTAAGGGTTCTCCAATTATCTTGCTTGCTCTCTGCCAATGCTTTTGATACAGTTTGCTTTTGTGAAACCAACCAGAGATATTTTTAGAACATTTTGATACAATCCTTTCGAGTAGATGCCTTGTGTATATTTCCATTTACACCACAATGGAATGTAGCTCATACTGTGGTCAAACCATTGGTTTATATCGCAAGATTTGACAGAAAAAAATGTGACAACTACCCAAGTTACCTTACAACAAAAACCATTGATTGTTTCGTCTTCAGTATTACTTTGATGCCTCTAGGCTTTGCTTTAATATGCTTTGCTTTATGCGTCTTCAGGTTTTTGTCTTGTTTTCTTCTAGAGTTTTACCCCAGACCCAGTTTTTACACAGTCCTCACATATTCCCCATCTGTGGTTCAAATCGAATTCAATCACATGCAATGGAAAACGACACTGTGGGTTCACTCTAAATGTTTACGCCAATGCCAATGTCCATGACGAACAGCTTGCAGCCAGGATTTAAATGTGGTTAACACCTCCGATACTTAACATTGACCTACAGTGTGGTTTCCCTTGGTGTGTAATTGATTGCATTGGGGCCTGTGACTCAAGGCCAGACCGACTTCACAACAACATGAGAAATATGAGCTATGTGTATGGCAGCTAAAACAGCGATTAAGAATTGTATGTAAGAAATCTCTAACAATTTTCATCTTGATTGAATACAACTGGTCAATTACAGCAAACACCACCAGGAGACAATCTCATTGTTTTTGGTTTAATGGACATCTCACAAAGTAAAAAATGAGCACTAGTATTTTATCCTCTGATTGAAACTGCTATAAAATGTTGAGTTTTGCAGATGGAAAAGAGCTGAAGTGGAACCACTAGAAACTTGGAGAAGTTGGAATTCAACTATGAAATCCTTTCCCTATAACGCTCGTTGCAATTGATACAACAGCTTTATTTTGAGTGCTTGTTTTCTGTGCTACCGGGTCTCATTCTGGTGATCATAGTGAAGAAGAACATAATTGGAATAGCCAACTCAGTGAGCAAAATTGGTTGAAAAGACTTTGAATATGTATTTTTGGTTGAAAAGATGTTGAAAAGATGTCTTCTCAACATGTTTTGCTCACTGGGAAACTATCAGACATACTCCAACCAACCAGCAAACAGCCTACTCTCCTCTGCTACTAAAGTATTGCTTTAAATTGTGAGTTTTTGCATTCAAATAAAAGTAGATTTTCATGAATCTGTGTTGTCATTTCTCTTTAGAATGTTCTGTCTGACTCTAAATAGCCTCGTTTTTTAAACAACACGTTTCTGCGTATGTCTTTATTATGGTATTACTTCACTAAGGCAATACTCCACAGAGGCTGAGACATGAGTGCCTGCTGTAGCAGTTGTCAGTACACAACTATAACCATTAGATGTCAGACTATACAATGTAAAACGGTGCCATACAACGACTACAACCAGAGCGAAAGAGGCGAAGCGAGAGGGTTTACAATAACCCAAAATCTCTCCACGAAAATAAGACCACGAAGTGAGGAATTTTTGTATGGAATTTTTGTATGGAGGTCAATGAGTGTCGAATTTAGTCAACAAAAAATGTAATTGCTCATTTGCTATGCCAGGCTTATTTGATTGAATATAAGTTTCGTAATGGTTAGGTTGTTACGAATGCACTGATATAAGTGGACACGTGGCATTTCGACAACTTACAAAAAAACTACTTTATATCGGAGTTGTGCCTGTTGGATCTGCCCTTTCATTGGCTAGAATGATCTCACCTCCTCCTGCCTGCCTTCCGTCTTTGAGGACATGTATTTCCATTGTTAGAGCAGTCACTTGTTAATATAATATATAATCTTTGCTATGACACGTAAAGACCATCCCATTTTATTATGATAGCAAAATAACTCTCACAATGAGCATTGACCACCACTACAATTGTAGGATTTTATGCCTATTAATATTTATATGGATCTAATGCACTTTCATTTAGTGTTGATGTTGCTACTGTATTTCTTGGGTAGGCCTATAATAACAGTGTAATTAGACTGTAATATATGTTTTGGTTCTGTTGGGTATATGTGAGTGTTTCTTTTTTCCTTTTTGTTCCTTTTTTGTTTAACTGGCTATTCTTTATTCATTCACTCTGTATTGAGCCCATATTAGAGTTAGTATTTGTCTTTGCTCTTTAAAAAAAAATGTTGATCCAATTTTGTCCCTCTAGACTTTCTCATGAGATTTGTCTTTATTTAACTAACGTCAAAGTAATCAGAAAAAAAATCATACATTCTTTACAATTCAAAATGGTGGTCAGAGAGTTTTTTTATTCATTCCGTGGTCTTATAGCCAAGGGGGACATGAAGAGGGACATCACACATACCTAACCTAGACATATCCTAGGATCACAGGCGGCCGGCTGGTGGCACCTTAATTGGGGAGGACGGGCTCCAGTCCATTTACTCCATTCCAGCCATTTTTTTATTTTGTATTATTATTTATTTAACTAGGCATGTCAGTTAAGAACAAATTCTTATTTACAATTATGGCCTACCCCGGCCAAACCCGGACGACGCTGGGCCAATTGTGCGCAGCCCTATCGGACTCCCAATCAAGGCCGGGTTGTGATACAGCCTGGAATCAAACCAGGGTCTGTAGTGACGCCTCTAGCACTGAGATTATGAGCCGTCCTCCCCTCAGCATCCTCCTGGGCCTAGGATTCTGCACAGCCATCCAGCAACTTTTGAATCGCGGTTGCACAAAATAGCATTTTCCTCTCTCAGCGACAGTGCATGACCCCTACGGTCCCTGAAGTGTGTGAGCTCTTGACAGCCTGTAGCGCCGCACGCGAGATCATGGAATAATCGTGCACGTCTCCTTTAAAACCAGTGTCCGCTTAATCCACGGCTCAGAAGGCTGACGTCAACTAACCCCTGAGCCGCAGACTCCGATTGGCTGAAAGTGACGTCAACCTGATTTTTTCTCTCTCCCTTCTGAATCATGACCTCATCCTTAGTTCATTTTAGTGCTAAAGGCACATTATGTTTTCCCGGGACGTTAATGCCTAGTAAATGCAGATTACTTATCTGTAATTGCGGCCACACTGCATGGCCTATATACAAGCGAAACAATTGTTGATAGTGCTTTAATGTGTTTCGCTCCTTTATATTCTAGCGCTGTCAATTTTGCGCTGTGACCATAGCGGCTCTGCTGTCGCTCAGTGTTCCATTGCCCTCGACCCATGACAAGTAAACAGTGACCAAAGTCAAAGCGCTTTGAAGAGGGCTGGCGTGACACACTGTTCCTTTACACATGGAGGTTAGCTGATCACAAATCACCAAACCGGGGACACAGAGGTGAGTGTTTGTGGAGCCCCCCTCCCCTTGTGCAGTGTGTGATCAATCACTTCGATATAAGGTGATTTTCCCTAACCCTTACCATTTCCCTAAACTTAACCTGATGTGTAAGTTATCCTAACCTGCTACGAAAAAGTCATTTCGGTATCAAAGTGGCGTGAAAATAGTTTACCCCGTATGTTTCCCCGTGATCAGTCAGCAACTGTCAAATAATTCCTCCCCTAGCCGATTACGTTAGCAGGGGGCTAGTTGGCTAGCTACAGTAGTACGGTGTGGTTACGTCCCCCTGCTGTCTGTTAGTGCGCAGCCCGGTATAATGGTAAATAATCAAACCTGGGCTTAGTTGTTCTTTATTTTTTACAAATACTGCTTATCTTCGCATTTTCTCTTTTCATTTTACGGTAGGTGGAATGCAGTTATTTTTCTGTTTTTAGTTTGGGGCCGTTAATCATGTGCGCGATTAATGGGTGTTCGTTTCGCATGCAGATATCCACACGTCACAACAGAACAGTACATTTACTGCACCGCACTATCATTCTCAATTGACGCACCTGCGCCTGTAGCCTATAATGTAGTGTAATTATCAAAACAATTCCACTAAACATTTGACCACAATTATGTCTAGTCCATATCTGGTGTTTATTGTTGTCTGTCTCCAATGGGTTTATTGCGGTGCGTTATTTTTGTGTTGCGGCTCGGTTTTATTATCGCCTGTATTTATACTGGATCATGGGGGAGAGAGTATTGTCACCAGGCCAGAACACCCCGTGGTTTTCATCGTGCTCAAAACCACAAATACATCGACATAGGCTATATGGCTTCACATTTTATTTTTACTTTTTCCATCTTCTATTATTACCCTACCTTTATTGTTATGATCATGTTATTAACCTGTGATTTTGCAATAACGTGAGGTAATAACACTATAGGCTACTGCTATTGTTGTTTTCGTTTTGTGATTGTTTATGTTGAGATATTATTCTTCATGCACGCTAGCTTGCTGAGATATAGATGAGATATAGCTGTATTGATCATAGAGAGCCGCCCTGTGTAATGTTATCTCATGATGATGCTGTCCCTTCATAGCAGCGGGAAGTAGGGGTGCTGAGGGGGCTGTAGGGTGTATTAGCACGACCCCCATACTGCTTCCCGAGGCTATGTGTCCCTTACCCTGTCTATCAAAGCATTCAGAGGGGGCCTACGTCCTGCACTATCATTACCTGGGGATAGCCCTTATTACATTGATAGAACAGTTATTCCCATTCAAACCAGTTCAATTTCTATCATGTTGTATGTTAAGTAGATTAAGTTGTAGGTGTTGTTGGCAGCATTCACATGTTAAGCCAGATATAGGACCTTCGCTTATAGGTTCACCTGAAATGTAGACAGAGTAGGCTATGTAGCAGTTTTACGGAGAGAGAGAGAATAGTGGCGATGATGAACATCCTTGCTTACTGTTTGTGTGTGTCCTGTGTGCTACAGCAGGTACAGCTACAGTACTGAGGGTGGTGATGCAATGTTTGTACAGTCTGCTTTCCCCTCTGAGAAGGTGCTGTAATAACAGCTGGTAGTTACAAGATATGGTTATTATGTTGTGTGTGTGTGCCGTGTGAGTTCTGAGGGACAGGTACCCTGTACACAGTAGTTGTTTAATGTTTACACACATTTAGAAACACACACACACATACACACACACACTGTGTGTGTGTGTGTGTGCGCACGTTTCTGAGAGTGTAAACATTAAACAACTACTGTGTACAGTGTGCCTGTCCCTCAGAACTGTGGCCCTGTGCCTCACTGGATCCACTGGATCCTCGATGGTCCATGTTAGCAGCAGTGAGGAAGGCCTGTGTGATGGTGGTCCTCTGTAGCTCAGTTGGTAGAGCATGGTGCTTACAATATATGACTGTCAGTCGCTTTGGATAAAAGTTTCTTCTAAATGGCATATGTTATTACTATATTATGATGGTCCAGGGACAGTGGGTTAGATGGTAGATAAGTGCCATCACACACACATACAGCGGGGTGAGAGGTCAACTGGAGTGCTACATGTCTCTATATCTGTCAGCTTAGCTCACTGACCCTGTTGTCATACCCCCATCACTAGTATCCACACACACACAATGGGCATGGAGTCTAGGGTCAGATTGAATCTGCAGGAAAGTTTTCTTATCAACATTTGTAACATTATTGCCTGTATACGTGTACACTGTCAATGGAACTGTATTCATTTATAAGGGAGGGTAACTAGTATTTATTTCAATTTGACTGAATTCCACTGGTATTTTCTATTGGAAATCATTGTCTTTGGGTTAAGGAAAGGAGAGCTTGGGATTGTAGGTTAACCACAAATGAGATATGGCATTATTTATAGAAACATTATCACCTCATTATCAATGACCATAGTGTTCAATGAAGATTGTGTTCTTTGTTGTGCCGGGGTTGGATCTTGCTGTGGTCACCACTGTGGCATTTGTGGGAGAAAAATAGTCTTGTCAGATGTTACCTAACACTGGTGTCAATATTGAACTGATTATCACAGCAGGGGCACTAGCCTTAGGCCTCAGTCCTGGAAGAGACCTGCCTGGGCTGCATCTCAATAGTCTACAGTGGACTTCCTTTCCTCCTCCCTCCATCTCCACTAAGGCCTCTATCTATAGTTTTTCACATCCGTGCAGATGAAGGAAAGGAGTCGAGGAGAGGACTATTGAGATGCACCCATGTTTTGGTGGAGT